CACCCTCCTTACATCACTTCCACTTAAAGTGGCTGGCAACATGTGGAAGAAAAATAATTCTATCATTTACAGAAGCTCAGTGCTTGTGTCAGTGTTACTTTAATTCTATAGTCCATTGTTGACATGAGCTGGAATTCTCATATAATCATGGTATATTTTAGTGTTTAAGTGTGGATATTAATTTGTGTGGGAATTGTTTTTTATTTTTGTTCTTGAGATCAGTATTTTTTTTTCTGCACATTCAGAGCATTTTGCACTCAGTTCTGAGTAAGTTTTTTGAGATTGTTCCTTTCTGTGCTTGTAGCTATTTTCTAATTTCATCATGGTTGTTTGTAGTAAATGCAATAAGACCAAATCATTGTCAGATAAGACATATAGCATCTAAATTCACTCTTATCTACAGAAGGTGTCCTTTCTGTTTCTACATATGTGGCTTATGTTCTCATTTTCTTTCCTTACAGAAAAAATGCAAATCATTTAAAACTTCTACTTTTCAGGGTAAGTTAAGAAGGAAACTTCAAAGAAAGGGATGGTGACCACATCCACTATTTCAATTTTGACTCTTGTGGTAAGTAGGATGTGTATTACATCTTTAGAAGTCGATGTTATGTGGCCTGCATATTCTATGCCATAAGTGATACGAGACCATTTGTTCATGATAGGCCATAGGTCAGGGAGAGAGAGAGATAGTAAGTACGTCAGATCCAGTGGCATTTTGCAGAAGACAGATCCAGCTTGCCATGTGACAAATCAAACTAGTCAAGATTTTAAACATTGCAATACCTTGCACACCAGCCACATGGGTGCTTCTTCTGGTATGTCACATGAGAATTGCTTATTTTGACTAGTTGTCTCCTCAGCTGTGATAAGTCTTTCTACTAATCCTTGCAGTGCAGAGTTTTTATTGTGTGTTGACAGTTTACCAGCTACATTAGCACAGGGGTCAACATCTTTTTAAGTAACATATGTGCAAGGCCCATGGATTACGGTACTTCTTCAAATGCATTTCAAGGCCCATTGCTTAACCTCAGTCCATAAGTGCCTTCAACTTTCATTTCTGTTACCTTAAGTTTAAATCCTGTTAGACCTTCCTTGAATTTTCCTGGGAAGCAATCAAGTTATACACTAGATTTTTTTGTTATCACACATTACTCAAGGAACCTATTCAGATTTAAGAAGTTCTTCCTTGTCTTTTTTAGCTGTGATGTAGCAGCTCATAGAATAGCTCTGAATTTTTCAAATACAAACTTTTAGCTCGTAGCTCTGTCAACTCTTGACCGATTTGAGATCTAATTACAGTTTTGGATTGATATATTTGACCATGCCCAAGGTCTCATAGATTAATTTACTCTAATCTAGCCTAAAAGAATTTCAATTTGAGGGTAGGCTTGTAGAGATCCTTATAAGTAATGAAATTGAATTGCATGCCCCATAAATGGTATTGCTGGTACACAAACATATAGCTAATAAAAAGGTAAAAAAGGTCTCATAGCTTAATTTACTCTAATCCTGCCTAAAAGAATTTTAAGTGCTATGGCTATTGAAGATTCCCTCTTATTTAGACTTGCACAACATAGTGACAGATTTTATTCACTAAGCTCTCAATATATGGATACCTGTATGAATAAATATATAAATACTTCACTTCCAGTAGTAGCTATTTCAGAGGCAATTATGTTACTGAAGCAGTAGAAGGGTCCTCTCAGGATGGATCCGAGTGAAGGAAGAGGAAATAGTTGCCTGGTTAGAGCTGGTTTAGAGTAATCATAGACATAGTTGATGCTCCTCCAGTTGGGATTAGATTATGTCAACCCTCTGCTTCTCTTCATTCAGGTCAGGATATGAGTGAGTTAGTGCTGGATGCCTCTTTCTTATTTTGACTCAATCGTTGGAAAGATATATCATAGGATTGCAGACCATTGACTTCCCATTCTTCCCTGCAGTCAATCGAATCACCATTTATTTAGTCCTTACCTCAGTTGGAGATGGTTACTTATGAATTTCATTGAGGACCAGTTTCTAGATGATGTACAGACACGTGTTTACATTATGGCTACCCTTCCTGAAGATAACAATCATCAAGGTTGATTATTGAGATAAGTTAATTTAACTTATCTAATACTTATGGTAATAATTAACAAGAGACCCTCCTTCCTCCCTGCTTGTCTTATGGTGTCCTGTATTTTTTGAACCAGAATAGAATGATTTGTTTTTCACATGTTACTGGCTTCTTCAAGATATAGTGGTGTAAAGAGTGTATTCTGGTAAAATACTTTTGATCTTTTTTATTCAGTGGACTACAGAACGGTAAGGTAACATAAAGAGTAATAGAAAAATTAATTATTAACGTAAGTATATGAAAAATTAAATGTAGTTATAAGAATTTTTAGTTAAGTACATTCTTGTCTTGTAGATCATTCTTTTACCCTTTTCTCATTGCACATCTTTTTGTTTGTTCTTAGGGTTAGATCCAGAAGACAATAGGTATTGAAATAATTTAGCATGAGTAGTAATAAGGATCTGATTTGTAATAAGAATCCTAAGGGCTATTAATCTATTTTTGTCAGTTCATCAAGTAACATGTAAAAACCTTCAAATACTTTCAGTTTACAAGTGACAATTCTGTAGCATATCTCAATGTAGATAAAGGTTCTAAACTTATCTGTGTTTAGTGCTCAATACTCCATCAGTAAATACTAGTATGATTCACTGTGATAACTGTGGCTTATGAATAAATTGGTGTAAGTTATGGACGTTTAACTCATCCTCATTTTTGACCACAATTCACAATCTCTATTCTGCTGCTTAATTACCAACTCCTTTTATCACCTTTTGCCTCCTAAATGTGTATTTCCACAAATGACCTTTAGTTCTTTCTCCCAGAGTATGATTGTTTTATTTAAATACATTACTGGACAAAACATGAATATTATCATGGAAAAAAAAATGCATCAACATACATAATCAGCACATTTCATATTATATCACTATATATATATATATATATATAATTAGTTTAAAGAAACTAGTTAATTTTACAAGTAAT